AAAATATTGTTTAATAACAAAATTTTAATGGATATTCTTTTTTGTATGTAAACAAATTTGTATAAACGAAAAACAATTTTTTTTTAATTTTCCAACCTTTCAATTTTTCACGTATTTCTCCTGGATTTGGTTGTGTTTGCGTTTGCGTACACGATCAACGCGGTCGCTCGGTTGTTTCACTCGTTGCAACAATCAAGATTCTCGTACACAATTTTTTTTCTTCTATGCATAATATTTTTATTTAATATTTACAATTTCATTTTTCCTTCTTATTATTATTTTAATTTAATAATTTTTTTTTTCTTATTGATTAAATGCACAATTTGTTTTGGAATAAATAATTTTGTCGTCTTTTTATGTATCACAAAATTTGTGTACATGCGTTCACTAAGAAAAACACGCACGCGCGACGTCCGCTTCTTTAAACAACCTTCCAACTCACGACGAAACCACACGGACAACTGAAGTTTACATTTCCACCTGAGCACGCGTTGGCCAAATCAAAGAGCAGCTCACCTCTGCTCAAACCAACTCACAAAAATATTGGCGCCTGTTAACTGATTTCTAAATTAGAGAATACAAAAGAAACTCACCGCAAGTTGATTGCTCACCACTCATCATGCACCATTCACCACTCACCACTTGCTATACTTATTTTTTCTCAGTACACAAGAAAATGAGGAAAAATGTTAACAGCGAATGCAGAGCCAAAACAATTGCCAATTGTCGTTTAAGGGACGAAGAAGCTTTAAGGTCTATTGCGACGATCTTATGCGAATTTTGGTACTTGGACTATTGGCCTTGCGAGGCTGCGAGAATTACACTTTATTTTTCAATATTAAAAATAATTATTGTTAATTAACAACATTAGTGAGATAATTAAAGCATTATGGGGTGCATCATTTTCGAATGATCTGTTAAAACTTATATCAAAGTGGAAATGAATATTTTTTTATTTTAAGATTATTTTTTCAATCTATATTAAAATAAACTAAAGAGACAAATAGGTGCAATGAAATTTTAATATATAATATAAAATTTTAATATAGAATTTTAATATATAAGCTTCAGATACTTAAGGTGCTTAACTTAAAGTATCTCGATTGTACAATATAGTTAAGGATACCGGTCACTGATTTTATCTCATCTATTAATTTTAGTGACAGTGAAAAAAATTAACGCGAGAGTGTTCCGCATCAAAATCAGAATGCCTCGTCATCGGAACTTGTTTAATAGAATAAGTTTTTAACCGAAGAGTACGTAATCTTAACAAGTAGTAGAGATGATCTCAGAAGAATATATCTGGGTTTTATTAGCATTTCTAAGAATTTCTGTAAAAATTAATAAATTTTACATTTTCGAAAGCTAATTTTTTTTTTAAAGTAAGAAGGATTCGAATAGCAAAGAAAAGACAAGAACAAAAATTTAGTTAATTCATTGAAATTCAGCTGACCATACAACGCTGTTACGAGTATTGCTAAGTAGTCATGGTATGGTCAGCTATTCGAATCCTTCTAGCTTATAAAAACAATAGCTTCTTTGTCGTCATAAAATGTAACTTTTGGCAAAAATAATTAAATTTAAAAGAAGCTGATTTTAATACTATAAACAATTTTCATTAACCGATTTGCTTTATTAACACCTTTTTTATGAAATTGGTAATATTCTGGAGAATAATATCTCGTAAAAAACGAACGTGGTCTTATTTTCAGAAAGAAATTCTGCTGTTTCAAGATAAGAACTCAATAAACGTTTAGTAAATCCAATAAAAATATTTTTAGATTGCATTGTTAAGAATAAAAATTCAATATATATTATTATACGGAAGGTTATTAATATGGAGGGACAGTAATATAAAGTAACACATAGAATAAAGTTCAATTCATGGAGACATTTTTAACTAACATAAATTGAAATTAAGATTAGAAAGAACAGATTTGCTTAAAAAATTTGCAAATTCAAGTGCTAAATTTTTTATGTTGTACCCATCGTTTACTGAAATGCGATTTCAGAGGAAGTTTTTCACACTCTGATGGTTGAGATTTTCTTAACTCGTACCTAAGAAGTGGTTTTAGTAGATTCACACTGTGGCTTTGGATTTTTGCCGCCTATCACAAAAAAGAATATTATTGATGTATTAAAAAATAATAAATCTGTAGACTGATCACATCTGCTTTTAGGAAAAAAACTCTATCACATCTTTTGTTACTACAAAATTGCAGTAATATATAGAAATTTTTAGATATATGAAAGCAATATGGATGAATGAATAAATATTTAACTAAGAAAAGGCAGCCATTAGCTTGGAATTACTTAAAACGCAACTGACTTTGACTGAATAAGATATCGTATCATGAAAATCACATAAAGACGACTGAGCAACCAAATATTAGTCTAGAAAGCATAGTTCTTTAATTCTTATAGATATCCCTTAAAGCTTCGCCATTACATATCTTAAGCATTTCTTCACACCAGTCGGCACGAGCATCTTTTTTGTGGGCTCCAATATGAATTAATCTTTATATCTGCTAACAAATCATGTTAAATTTTATATATGCTGGTGAAAGTAGTCTTGCCTGAAGTATTTCTCAAGACCTTGCCGTATTAGTTCTTGCACAATTGATATCTGAGACAAAAATTGCTGTTGGATAATCTTCCTGTCATTGGTCTTTTAGGAATTAACGTCCACGATCAAAATAGTACATATAATAATATATTTCACGACAGCAGTTATATATTTTACACATTCACATTGTTACATTTAATCTTTTCACATTATGTAGCAGTTGTGTAAATACCACGATTAGGGTGGTGGTAACCATTGGACTTATACCTATGGTAAACAAATGTTTTTCTCTCAATAAGACGTAAGTGTCTCCTTATGACAAGTCGAGCTTGTACTGGACCAGTTTGGGTATGCGTAGGTAAATAAAGTCCTTGTGACAGTGTAGCCTATTTGCACTTGATTAGAGTAGAGTTATATCTTTTAAATTTTAATAGTTTATGTTTACCCAGAGCGTATTTAAAGAAACTTCTTTTTATGTAAAGCAGTTTTCAAATACCCTCTCGTATTTTTCTCTTAAGCACTTTATCGTAAAAATTTATTAAATATTAATTGCAAACATTTTCTTGACAAATTCGTTAGGAAATTTTTAATACATTTAAATTTAAATAACGCCACTGGTAATTTAGCTACACATTTTTACTGCTCAAGACGTAAACTTTCTAATTAGATTTTTGGTGCATTAACAGGATTTAAGGAATACTCTCTCTCTCTCTCTCTCTCGTTCTTAACCGAAAAAAAATATTTTAGTCTTTTAACTCAAGATGAGTGTCAACAGAGTATATGTTGTGAAGGAATTTGAAGAGGTGAAGAGCGCATTTAAGGAAGCAACTAATGTTACCAGCAGATTGAGTAGAAATAGTGAATAATAATGTTTGATTGTTTGCAATTTTAGTAATAAATTTGTTATAATTTGCTTTAAATTTTTTTTTGTAAGAAAATATTAATATATATAATATTTTTTATATATTATGTTTCATAAAATTATGTTTAGTTCTAACATATAATATTTTACAAAAGAATATTTGTTTTTAAAATAATTAATTACGAAACCCTTATTTGGTATTGTGTGTATTGAAAATATATTTAATAAATATATGTAATAAATTGCATACTTATGTATATATCATCTATAATACAATAATCGTAGATCAAAATAAAATTTTAGCTAAAAAATAATTATTTAACTATTTTTTGAAATTCGACCGACGGCTTCTTCATTCACAGCATCAAGTTTATTGAAAGCAGCTCAGATGCCTGCATAAAAGCTTACAAATTCTCTTTTAGCTGAAATTCCCCAAAGTTTTGAGTATTTTTTTCCGACTCTAATTGTTGCAACTCACAATTCACCATAGACAAAAATCTCTCTCATACGTTTACGCTCACAAAACTAAAAATGCACAACACTCTCCGCTTCTTCGTTTTGCACTAACATTGCGGCATGCAAATAAATTGCCTTTTGGGTGCTATTTACTAATAGGCAGCACAGCACAGCACAGCACCATCAATGCTTTTGTTATTGTTCTTGTAATTCTCCAAATGCCGGAGAGTAGGAATTCTGCAAGCAATGTCACTGCTGCTGCTGCTGCCAGTGCCACTACCACTGCCGACGGACAAGACAATTGAATCCCTTGCAGCGCAATGCGATAATGCACAGCACAGATTCATCCATACGAGTTCAACAACAAACCTTCCTGATAAACGAAAAAAACAAAAAAAAATGGTTTTCTTTATGTTGTGTTGCTAACTTTTATCTCGTTTAAATGTACGAAGACAGCAGGTTGCACATTGTGAGTAAATTTATTTAATTTTTCGGTATTCGTTAGCATTTACATGCACACACATTTCTTACCTGCAGTGTGTGGTGAGTTTATAGCTCACCAGGTAAATGTTTGCACGATGTTTGTACGGTGGGTTTGTGTGTGTGTGTGCGTTAGTGATGTGTTATCGAATGTACAGCAATGCAAATACAACAACTACAAATTTCTTGTCTGCATTATCAGCAAAGCATAAATAAACATGAACATTTTTCGGATGCACCCGCAACAATTGGAAGGCAACAACAACACAACAACAACAACACCAACAACGGCATCAACAATTATTTTAACACAGGACAAATGGATTCTTCTCGTAGCTACAATTTTTGAATTACGTGATGCCTGCCGATGTTAGGCATCAGCCTTTGCTGCTAACCGACCCAGAGGTGTACATACATATATACATATTTTTAGTTAATTATAGTAAAAGATATGAAGATATATAGGTTGTTAGGAAACAATTATAATATGGAAGAGTGTTGACACTATAGTTATTAATTATGATGACGGTAAACATCTTTTCATCATTCGGTTTTTCGCCGATCCCACACATATGATGATCTCAACCACATGGTAGATCATCATAATCATTATCAGCGGTCACCAATCGTATCCACATGGTTAATCATAATAATCATCATCAGCGGTTCACCGATCTCAATCACATGGTAGATCATCATAATCATCATCAGCGGTCCACCGATCGTATCCACATGGTTAATCATAACAATCATCATCAGTGGTTCACCGATCTCAACCACATGGTAGATCATCATAATCATCATCAGCGGTTCACCGATCGTATCCACATGGTTAATCATAACAATCATCATCAGCGGTTCACCGATCTCAATCACATGGTACATCATCATAATCATCATCAGAGGTTGACCAATCTCACCCACATGGTAGATCATTATAATCATCATCAGAGTTTCACCGATCTCATCCACATAAGTGGATCCCTTGAGATCGCCGGTATAACCTAACCCTACGACACATCTTAAAGTACTAGATCAAATAATTTTTGAGCATTTGTTATCACAAAGCTGGTAACAGCTTGGTCATAATTTGACGGATGTTCACTTTCAAAGCACAGAGAATTTGAGAGTTGTCGTTATATTGCATATCCGAATAGATTTTTGAAAATATTTTTTTTTCAAATTCAAACTGGAAACTACTTCGACTATAAATACAGACACGTAAAACAATTTTATCCGTTTTTTAACCATTCCGGATATACATTCCGGATATATAAAAAAGGGATATTGTTAGATATATGTTATGTATTTCACCAGTTAAATCAATTGCATATACGATTTATATGCGGTATTGCTTACACAGTAGTATGACTTGATGATGATGACTATGATGATGATGACTATGATGATTTGCAGTCATTATGCCATCTGCCATTTGAAGAGATCAAATTCGGTAAAACTAAAAGATTCTATGGATTAGAATTTAATAAAATAAACTAAAATTATTTATTATCACTGCAATGTCACTCAATCGCAGCGTTACAGAGACTTAAAGTTGTAAATATTTTGACAGAACAAATTTGCATTTTTGGAAACTGACAAAGCTCTGCCCAAATGCCAATATAAAAAATAATTAAAAACTAAAATCATCACAAAATCACTAACAGAATTTCGAGCAGACAGAGAATGAACCAATGTCAAGTATTCCAAATGCTGTCAAACGCCCACTATCACGCCGACGTCATGTTGACTTTGGCAGCTAATCAAAACATAAATATCGTCATAAATTCAGCCGATCGAAGGAAGTGGAACGAAAGCTAGTTGAACCGATACTGCCCCACCACACAACGCACTGTCGCGTTAAGGATTTTTACAAGACATTTTTTATTTTTAAAACAGCTTTGTTTCTTCCTTGGCTAATTTGGAATAATTTTCTTCGATTTTATGCATTGTGTTTGCTTAGGTGCATATGGTCATGCCTTGCATACCGGCCATGACCGCGCTTCAATGATACTTCGGAGCGATGTTAGAGGTAAATGTGCTCTTATTTGCGCAGCGGTTAGAACCGCGCTTCCCACGTGATTGCTATGTGGCTGGTTTGCGTTTAATATTCGTATTTGAGATTACAGAAATGCGTTTCCTATACTCATAAGACGAAGCTTGGTTTCTTGTCATAAATTCGTCACTTGCCAGTAAATGATATATGCAATCAACGGTAAAACACTACCTAAGCAATTCACAGAAACAGTTTTGCGCATGTTAGATATTCTCAATTATGTCAATATTTTGACAAACGCTTATTCATTTTATATAGCTAGAAAGCACGGAGAAAAAAGATGTAGAAAAGAAGAGTGAGAGACGAACACTGAGAGGGAGTAAACGAAAGAGAACGTATGAGAGAAAGAGAGAAAGAAAGAGAGAGTGTAATATATTCTTAATTATATCAATATTCTAATAAACGCTTATTCATTTTATACAGTTGGTAAGCACAGAGAAAAAAGATGTAGAATAGAAGACTGAGAGACGAACACTGAGAGGGAGTAAACGGAAAAGAACGAATGAGAAAAAGAGAGAGAGAGAGAGAGAGAGAAAGGAAGAGAGAGTGTGATATATTCTTAATTATATCAATATTTTGACAAACGTTTAATCGATCTATATTTATAGTTCATAAAAACAGAGAAGTACAGGTATAGAAAAGAAAAGTTCGAGACGAATGCAGAAGAAGAGTAAAAGTGAGAGGACGAATGAGAAAGAGAAATGGAGAAAAAGAACAGGTGTGAAACAGTGAGAGAAATAAGTAATAAAGTAGATATTTATGTCACACACATCATATCTAAGAGAATATCTAAAGCATATTGTACTCTTTGAGATTGAAAGAAACTTAATAGCCATGTTTTCATTGCTTCATTTAGGTAGTTTTGTTCATTAAGTCCACACTCTAATGAGGAAACTGATTTCATATAAATGAAGTCATTTTATATAAAACAACTGATTTATAGCGAACAATGTAGAATGAAATATTTGTCATATGGTTTATATATAAAATGTAAACAAACAAGTTATTTCACATAAATTAGCTTATGCCAATGGAAACGACCAAAACTGAATTTCATTAACACAAGTACTTTAAGCTACAGTGGAAACATGATAATGTTATCTTACAGTCAATTAGCCAGACTTTATTTACTTTTACTTACATAACAAAATATTAAAATGATATCCTTAATAGATAGATTGAGAAACAAATTAAGTTATTTTTTGTCCGAACAACAAATGTTCGAATGTTATACACAAAAAAATTTGTATTCTTCAACAAAAAAACGAAAAAAGAAAGGTATGCTGCGACACACGTAATCTGAGAATACCATGCAGAATCGTCTCGGGGCACTCAAGTTACAACTATATAATATAAGCACAAACTAACTATGTCCACATCAGAAGAATATAAGTACTGCTGGACATAAAGTGGTACGATTCGATAGACCTCAATTCAGAATTGGTGGAGAATTGTCGTAAGTTATTGCAGCTGTGACTGGTGAAAAACTTAGAAAGGTAGTCCATTCTTTCTACAAATTCAGCTAATAACATTTTCATGGGCCACACTAAAACATGTGTATGGTGTATTATTTTTTCGATCCAACTCTTCACCTTCGCGATCAATTATGTCCAGACCTTTTTACTACAAGTTTGTCATTTTCAAAGTAGTTACTCGTAATTGCAATATATATAATGTTATGAAAATAGATATTCAAGTATAGGGAGATTAATGGTGAGCATTTATTATCCCATTTAACTCCATACACGTGCAACAGTTAATGTCGTTTTGATAAAAATCCTTTTCATTAAATCCTTAAAATCGGTGCCAATAGCACTTACTGAATTAAGACTAATTACAAGTGTGAACATAGTGTAAAGCATTTGCGATTCCATTTTCATTATGTTCTTTGTCTATTTAGTTATTTAATGTAAGCAGAAAGAACAAAGAAAAAACAAGTAAGAAGAAAGAAGGTAAAAGAAACAATGAAAAAAAAGAAAGTTAGGGAACACACGTAATCCGTGGTACCTTGGTTGACAAACGCCTAATAGTTTAATGACTTAAAACTTAAAACTCTTTGGTACACTCATTCGATATTCATTAAAGTTTTTTATTATTAAAAAGATATTGCTTATTTCTGTGAAAGCATTCGCAGTTTAAGAGATAAATAGAATATTCATCTTAAAAATTTGATATGTAAACATGCAAAATATGTTGGGTACAAGAACAACCAACCCCTTGTTTAGGTATACGTACACTTTTTCAACAATGCTAGAAGGAATTGCTTTAAGTTTTTCAAAGTTCTTTAATAGATAATAACAAATGCGATATATTGAACTATTGATTTCTTACTCAATGAACTAGAACAAATTGACTTAAATAGCTAGCATTTATATAAAAAGTGCTGATAAGAAGTAATAAAGTGCTGTATACCAAAATAAAGCATAAAGTACTAAAGAAGTAGCAAACTTCTTAACTAAAAATTAAAAGCAGAGTTTATATCCCTAAATATATTTTTTATGTCAAACATATTGAAAGTATTCTGACAAAATCTAGTTTCTCCTTTCAAGTCGAAAATTGCTAAATCTATTAAAACCTTAACATTTAAGATATCAATCACAGACATTATATTTTATATGTACTATCTTAACAATATTAGTATCCGCATATAATCGTAGCGATTGTAGTTCAATGGTTAAAATAGTTGGGTCTGTTATAGTTTAAATCATTAAAAAAGGCCATATGTCAGCGACAGACTACATACGAAAAAAATAACTAAAACCGGTTTTACAGTGGTATTATTGTCACGACATTAACAACATTTTATTTTGACTTCGCATAAGACATTAATGAAGCCCACAGCACTCCTTGCTGGTCTACTTTTCTGTTAAGCTTTGGTAATGTAACTATAAAAAAATAATTAATACAAGCGGATACCAAATAACATTATAATATACTTAACAGAAAAACAAATATCAGGATGTATAAGTACTATAGGAGCCATTGGGAAAGTAAGTCTTTAACTAATTGACAAACTAAGTAAGTAAGCTGGTCGACAAACTAAGTAAGATTGGTATTTTGCAATGTATCCGGACGACAGCGCAGTTATCAATATGCTAAATAATATATACATATATAGTATTATGATCTGAAATAATATTTACATAAACAGTAAAAGGTTAAATAACTCCAATTAATTCAACTTTATTTGGACCTTTACGGATATTCTAAAACTTCTCGTTTCGGCAGGGTCACAATAAACAAACACTTTATAATAAACTGCTTAATAATTTGTAATAGTATGTATAATAATATAATATAACATATAATAATAATTAATATATTTAATATGTATATATAATATATATAATATATAAATAATTTAAGATATTATCATTTAATTAAAATACAAGTACTATTTATAATTTATAGAATTGTATATATAAATTTTAAACATATGGCAATAATCTTCTAAAATAGTAATTAAATTTATCAATAAATAAAATTATTTTAATAATAAATATTAATTTCTTTCGTACTAAAATATTTTTAAAAATCTAAAACTGAAAAAAATCTGGCATACACTGATTCCTACTCAGTTTATTTAAAAATAAAAATCGAATACACCATATATTATATATTATGTATTATTTATTATATATTATGTATTAAATTTTATGTATTAAAAATTTTATAACATGTATAGCTATATATATAACTTTAGATAAAATTACAAAAAGAAATGTGCTTTAAAAATTTAAGCTTATAACATAAATTTATTTTCACATTAACATATATTAGTTTCATAATTAATATTAATATATTTAATAAACTAAAATAAAATATTTTTTTTAATAATTAAGATATAATAAATGTTTAAGATTAAAAATATATAAATTATAACAAATGTTTTAATAAATGCTAATTTTTAGCATATAATTAATTTAAATACATAATAATTTATTATAAATTA